CCATATTAATTTGTAAAAATATACTTCATGAATATATAGTTCATTTTTTATTTGATCATTCATAAAAACCAATAGAAGATTGCAACGGACCATACGATATTTTTGTCAAGTCAAAAACTTTATTCTAAACCATTCTAATGAAGCAATTTATTTGGTTTCTTTTTATTTGTATTTATACAATTTCCAATGTTCTTAGCAAAGAAGTTCGTAATATTAATAAATTCTTCTATATTGATAAACATATTTGATTGATATAGGATATTCTTTCGGAAAAAATTCAACAATTAACAGATTGGTCACTTAAAAAACCGATTATTCGGTTAAATAGTGAACGTTTTAAACATTATGTAAAAACATCACCACGTAATTATTCAATGATTGTTATGCTCACTGCACTTTCACCACAACGACAATGCAGTATATGCAAGTATGATTGATTTATTTCTTATATGTTTATTATTTACTTATTTATTTTTATTGAAAGACAAGCTCATGATGAATTTCAAATAGTTGCACAAAGTTACCGTTATTCAAGTGCTTTTACAAATAAAGTCTTTTTTGGTATGGTCGATTTTGATGATGGTTCAGATGTATTTCAATATGTAGGTACTACTTTCTTGCTTAGATCTTTATTAAATCAATAGAGAAAGAAGAATAATCAAATTAGTTGTATCGATCAATGGATATACTGAAGCTTTGATCTGATAATCAGATTTGAGAGTAAAATTAAATTTAATCTTTTAAGTACGAACGGCGCAAATTTAGATTCCAAGATTTTATTCTCAGAATTGTTTTTATAAATATCACGTATTGATTGGCAGTTTGATTCGATATGAATAAGAATCGCCAATAAATAGAACCCATTGAGTTCAAATTTTCGGGCTCTATTGGCAGACTGTACGTAATAGCAACGATATGATTATTTGATGAAATCAAATGCATCAGTGTTTATCTCGGTGAGATTTGGTTTTTCAAGATCAATTATACTTGTTAGCATAGGTTTTTCCCTGTTAGTTTAAATGCGTGTGACCAATTATCGGTACTGTTAAAAGTCATTGTCTTGTATTGATTAAATAAGTCTTTTCTATGTTGAGATGTAGTCCATTTACTTCTCTTTATATTCAACGAAAAACAAACAATAGTCATCTTTGAAGTCATAACTGATTCGGACACGACTTCATAACTTTTCACATGGATTAGTTCGAGAAACCATCAGAGCAACAGTATTTTAAATAATGTTTTGAGATGATCTTCACTAGATTATATAAACGAATTTTCTTATTGAAACCGAGCTATGTAATTGATCACAACAATAATTTTTATTTATTCGAACGAGTAAAAAAAAATTTCCATATTGCAGCGGATCCTGCTTTTCTTGGTTTTTATTTTCGACATTTTTTTCTGCAGGAGTTTAAAAAGCCAGAATCAGAATTTAGCACAAAAAAAAATACTCATTTTGATTTTCGATCACCAAATTAAATATTCATTTAGCAATGAAGGTGGAGAGTTTGAACGTAAGCGAAAAACATTACACTCACCTTCGTTCTTCATACATATTAAATATCACTAATGACTAGGGTCTACTGCATTGCATCTGGATGGATCTGAATTCGAAAATTTTGAACCGGCAGACTTTACTGAGCAGAGGGATTTAGAAAAAAACTCAGGAGCCGCTAAGACGGTTGGAAATATTTTTATTTTACGATTAATTTTTCTTATTTAGTTAAAATTAAATTCTGCACCAGTATTTATTCATTTTCCTCCAAGAATGAAACCCAAAAAAAGTGATTTTATGGATATTAGTCGGTAAGTAAATGTTAAATAAACGAATAATAATTTATTATTATAATTAGTTGGGGATTTTCTGCTGAGCAACTTGCTAAATGGATTCATGATCGTACCGATGTTCAAGTAAGATATAGAAATCAATATGTTAAATAATCTTAAAAAATAATTTTTTTTAGATTCATATATTTCGTCCACCAAATTATTCAGGATTTTTATTAATAGTATTACTTGTAACAATGATTGGTGGTCTTCTTTATATTAAACGAAATAGTCTTGAATTTCTTTATAATCAAGTTGTTTGGGGAATGTTTGTTGTTGTAAGTAAATTTTAAAGAAAAAAAAAAAATTTTTGTTTTTTTTCTTTTCATAATTTTAGCTTGCTATTTTAATTTGTATTTCTGGACAAATTTGGAATAGTATACGAGGTTCACCATTTCTTCATCGTAATCCTCAAACAGGTCAAATTGTATGTAGATATTTAATTAAAATATTGATATTATTTTTCTTGGTTTTTTTTCAGGGTTTATTTAGTGGAAGTTCAGGATATCAATTTATTGCTGAAACTTACGTCGTAAGTTTCTTTAAAGTTTAATTTAATTATAAGAATTAATAATGTTCTTGGTTTTTATTTTTATTTTTGTTTAGGTCTTCTTTCTCTATATCCTTTTTCTTGCTGGTTATAATTTTTTTTTTTGTTTTTAGGAAAAAAAAGAATTTTATTTTAAAAATATTATTTTCCTTAACTATTGTTTTTTGCTTTTTGTTTTCTACATTTCGGTGTTTGTGCTGGAATGATTTTATTGAATGAAGCACCTAAATTAACTGGTCAAACCGGTAAACGTAAAGGTAATTCGAGATAATAAACTTTTATTTTTGTATTTTGGAAAAGCAATTAGTATACCTACGATTATCTATATAAACAAGGATACTGTAATAGTCAGTGATGCGAAAGTTTCTCGATAAAATGTTTATTCATTCTAGACTAATGAAACTCTAGGGATTACAGCCAATATTTTGAGCTATTTCCGATTATTGGCTCAAAAAATTTCTGTGTGTTTTTACTGGAAAGCGATAATAGCGAACAAATCGATTTTTTTCTAATACTACAAATCCTTGTGGGACGTATTTTTATTCAAATGAGATTATAAGTATTTTCTTAGGAGTCACAATCTATGTAAAATGCCTTTTCGTCAAAAAATTCAATGATAGTAAAATATTAGTTTAGGGATTTTATTGAAAGACAAAAAGAAAATTAAACCGTACATTTTGTAGGATAAATTTTGTTCTATAAGCTGATTATATAAAGCTGTTTAGGAGATTAATTCAACAGAAATATGAGAAATTACACAAAACTGAATGATAGTCGGTTGAAATTACAGCACAGTTTATCGAATTCGAAAACAATTGTCAGTATGAGATGAGTACGATATGCATCATTGAAACATTGCATTTGATTGTTTTTCCAAGGAAACTATTGTAATAACCGTAGTTCAACATCTATCTGAAAAATATAGAAGTCTATTTTTGATTTATTAGATCGTATTAAAGTTTTCCGTTCGACAGTTTGAAAATTCCTATTGTTAGCAAATAGAACCATAGCTACAATACAAAAAACAAGGTTGATCGCAATCAAAGCTTATTGACGAACTATTTCATGGAAGGAAATAGTTAAAAATTTTGTGTAGAATTGTTGTATGATGATAATTTATCATTTAAATAAAAATAATTCGATATATCCCATTGTCGACATAGCTAAAATTTTGTTGTTTTATTTCTAGCAATGATGGCTGTTCTTGGTATTCTTATGGTTGTGTTCTTCTTCAGTTTCTTACTTTCGGTATTTCGAGCTAAATATCAAGGTTATCCATATAGGTAAGATTTCTTATATCATTGAATTTTCATAAAAAATTATTACGAAAGATTTAATATTTAAAAATAACTAATTTACTTTTTTTTTTTTGTTTATTTTAGCTTTTTAATCAAATAATCCATTGATTGTGATACAAACTTTCAACAACATCTTTTCAGCATATATGATTCTTTGATTAAAACATTTGATATATATAAAAAAAAAAAGTGTTCTAGTGTATTCTTGTTGTTCTAATTCGCTTAGTTAGTCTTATACTTCTGTTTCCAAGAAAGAAAAAAAAAAAACGTCCTTAACGAACTTGTATTGTTTTTCTCTTAGTCTTTATTGTGTCATTCAAAAGTAGCAAAAAAAAAAAAAGAGAATATGAAACCAAAAGAAAAAATAAAATTTTTGTTCTTCTATTTGTTTGTTTTTTTTACTTATTAGTTTATTGATGATAAAAAAAAATCTTAAATGAATTCAATTCGTTCATGTATTGAACAACAATTAAATGAAATTGAACTATTACGTTGTTGTTATCCATCATCAGATGAATTTTATCTTGATGATATTGAAGCATTTAATGAAGCAAAAGAATTTCTAAATGAAAAACGTGAAAATATTCAAAGAAATCTTGGTTTTATTATTAAATTATATCTAAATGATATTAATGTAAAGATTTTCAAAAAAAAAAAAAGAATTTATTTTAAAATTTTTTAACTATTTTTTTTAAGACATCAATTGAACTTCAATTTGTTTATCCATTTTATTATCCAGAAACACCAATTGATATTCATTTACGTACATATTTATCACGTGAATGTTATGAAAAATTTAATGAATCAGTAAAAAAATTTTTAAATAATAAAATATCATCATTACAAGAACCTTATATTATGGAATTTCTTTCATGGATTCAAGATAATCAAAATCTTTTTATTGTATCAAATGATACAATATCGAAAACAACAAATGAACAAATAATAAAGAAAAAATATTTTTCTCGTCTTTGGATTTATAGTCATCATATATATAATATAGAAAAACGACGAAATATAATTAATTGGGCACATGAATTACATTTAAATGGTTTTTCTATGCCTGGTAAACCTGGTATTATATGTATTGAAGGCGAAGAATCTGATATTAATGAATATTGGACACGTTTAAGAAATTTAACATGGAAAAAATTACAAATAAAAGAAAAAGAATATTTAAATGATATTGAAGAAAATAATTTATGTTTTAATCAATTTCAAGAACTTGCTTTTGTTGATGATAATCATAGTAAACATGATTTAGGACAATTATATCAATATTTACATGATAAAAAATTAGATAGAATGTTTAATCTATTTTTTGGTTTTGATGGAACAGATAAAAAATAAATTATCCTTTTAGATTGAAGATTTATTCTATATTATGAATCAAGAACAAATATCAAAACGATTACCTAGACCTGATCTTCGTGTTAATCCAGCAAAATGGAGTGCTGCACAGAGTGGTGGATACGCTTCACGAATTGCCATTATTGCAACTGTAACAGCTGTTATTGGTGGACTTAGTCTCGTATTTTTTTATCCTTATATGAACATTGATCGATTTCGTATGTATTATTTTTAAAATCAATAGAAAAAAAAAAATGCTAAACACATGTTAACTGTTAGGTAACATTCAAAAAGTTACTCGAGCTGGAATCAATCCTGAAGACGTACAACCAGCTGGTAAATATTATCTAAATTCTGTTGTTTCTTTTTTTTTATATTCATAAATTTCTTTTTTGTCATAGGTTTGCCTGTTTGGCGTGATCCATTCGATAGAAAAAAAGCTGGATAAATAACAAATGATACTTTCGATTGTTTTCACTTTTTCTTTATTTCTGTAGATTTATGGTTTTCATTGTTTTTTTTTTCTATTTGATAAATAAAGAACTGTTTCCTTCACATCCATCTAGACAACATCAATACTCTCGATTAATAATCTTCTATTTTGTTGTCATTTCTCAGGCAAAGGTCATTCAATCGAACTTAAACCTTTCGTACAATTACAAGATAGTGTGTTTAGATGCGTATTTTTTATTATCTAAAATAAGGTATTGTTAACAGTTTTTTAGTGCTTTTGTCCGAAGAGCAAGAAGCGGAAAAAAAAGGTCATCTTCAAAATTCTTGTTGCAATTCAATTAACTTTCTGAGAGAAATTTTCATGAATTTTAAGTCTATAGTAACTAGTACTCTATTCACCATGATTAATCTTCTATGAAAATTGCAGTTTTCTTTGGTGAACTATTGTTCGAAAAAGTCGAAGGTCCAGACGTCATTACGCCATCGTTTTCCATATTGCTATAAAGCGATGAAGAGAGTAGAGACAAAACAATGTCTGTTGGATAGTGAAAAAAAAGACGACGCCTAAAACGGAATGACAGATTGCCATGAAAGGTATTGAAGCAATACGTCTTTGTATAGTTGTTTCAAGCCATTGAAGACACTGTTTTCGACAGTCGGCATGACTGTTCTAAGAAAGAAAGAATGCTTAACTTGTTCATTAGAGAAAACGCATAAATTGGAAGGAAATTGTTTATATAAAAGCATCGGGTTTTTTTTTCCATTAGATTACCCGTCTTTCTCTGTTGGTTGATGGAACAGGAAATATAAGAAAAAAAAGAAAATATGTGGCTTTTTTGGTGGCTGTTTTTGGTTTGTTCGTTCTCAGGTTTTTTTTTCTCTTTCTTCTCGTTTCTATTTCTATACATATATAATAGCATTTCTTGTATAGATACTTAGAACCTCTACTTACAAAACGAGATAGGCGAAATCATTGTTCTCATAATTAGCATTGAGTACAAATAGAAAAAGGATATCAACTGTATCTTGTAATACAATATCGGTAAGTTAACTGCTTGTATTGTTTTCGAATTTTTAATTAGAAAGGTCAATAATGCAAAAAAAAAATAAATATATCATTTCATTTAATTGAATTAATAGATAAAGAGAAAAAAAAGTCATAGATTATGAAAGTTCGTAAGGTTTATTGATAGATTTTTATTAATGAAATTAATAAATTAGACAACATATATGTCATCACAAATCATATGTCTTACTAATAGAATAAAATATAATTCGAGAAATTGTCTAATTTTAATCTTTCTTATCACTTTCAAGGTCTACTATTTGCTATTACAATGTTTAAAATCTAAAGCAAGAGAACTTCAAATAGTTATATTTTTATAACCTAAATACAACATTGTATACTCAAAAGTGAAGAGGCATGATTTTTATGATTGAATATAAAGTAAAATAGCACATGTGAGACATTTTTTTCAAGGACAAATGATAATGATGAGAAGAAAAAAAAACTGGCATTATCATTATCATTTAGAATAGCGATCCGTTTGTAAAAAGATATTGTTGTCAAGGATTAATATTTGTATAGGCTTACACAAACATTTTAGTTTATGTTTGTTAGCAAAATGTAAAATTGTCTTTTTTTCTATCATTATATCTATATATATATATGTTAATATAATTACTGTTATTTTAACAAAATGAAACAACAAAAGTCAATTCTATTTCACTAATAATGTCCTTCTATATGCTAAAAAATACAGTAATATGTCTAAACATACTTGTTTTTTTTTGATTTTTATATTTTTCTGGATTGTAAAATGAGAAATTATGAGTGTTGACAGTAGTCTATTATCATTTCATTAGCATTTATAATATATATATATTCGAATACTTGGTTATTTTATTTCTTATAATTTTTATGACTTAGTAATAATAGTTTTGAAGCTATTATATGATAAAAACATTTTGTTATTACGAACTAATTTACTTCGAAAGGTAATCTATGATGTAATATGATATAACAAAAAAAAAAGACAACGATGAACTCAATCTAATCATCGTTATTTCTCTTTGCTAAAACGATAAGTGTATCATCCTTGTAAAACAAGGTTGTTTGCTTCCATTTATTGATTATGTAATTTCTTTTTCTTTTTCTTTTTTCATTCTCAGTCTATTGATTATGTTTGACTATTTTTGAGATAAATTTACATAGATAAATAGAAAATAAATATTTCTCATACAAATAATTATATGACATCAGTAATAGATGAATAAATTACAAGAAAATTTTATGTTCGTTTACACCTGTAGATAAATGTTTAGATGAGTAATATTGAGCTCTTGTTTTATAGCTAACATATTGTACTATTATATAGTATGTACTTGTACATATTACATATATTTGATTACTCAACGAGAAGTGATGTTCATTATAGACCTTCAAGTAATCGATGGCCAAATGATTACATCCAAAGACAAGTAGAAGAATAAAAATGATTTCATATATATATATATAAGATTATTTTATAAAGAAAGAAAAACAATGCTTAGAAATATGTAAATACTTAACTAACGTTTTTTTTTTGTCTTTTTTTTTGCTTTTCTAACCATTATAAGATTATTGATCATCTTTTTTTACTTTCATATGAATAAGTGCAAAGTTTACATCTTGAGCATTCAAGATAACAAATAATAGAGTAGTAATAACGTTCCATCACGTACACATATGTAGAAATATCTACAACCAATACATATGTAGAATGATGCATTTATTATTCTTTAGTTTTTCTTTTTTTTTTAGGTTTTTTTTCTAGATCTATTCTAGTCAATAGTCATTATAAAAAAAAATGGTTTATATAATCGATCATATTTTTCTCATAATTGTCTCAATAACAATTGTAAGAACAAAACCATGTAATATACTTGAAGATATGTCATGTGAATGTCATAAATCATCAAATAATGAAAGTGAACAATTAAATTGTGTAAATTATTTTAAACCAATAAATACAACAATTCAATTAACAAATATAACATTAGAAAATCCACGTTCATTTGATTCATTTCATTTAACATTTCATGCACAAGAATTTAATATAAGTACAACATTTATTAATCAATTATCTTATTTATTTCCACGTACATCATCATTATTATCATCATTACGTGGTATACAACAACGAACAATTAAAATTATTTTAACATTTCAAGATTATCGTAAAATACATTTTGAAGATTATTCATTTTATCAATTATTTGGTGAAAGACCTGAATATACAACAAGTCTTTCATTAGAATTAACATCAAATGGACATATTACATTTTCACCAATGGCATTTAATCATTTAACTGTTGATCGTATGTCTTTACATAGTTCATCATTAGAACCATATTCATTTGAAGAAATATTTAATAATACGAAAATTGGTAGTTTATCTATTGAAGGTAAAATAAATATAAATATATAAAATTTTCGAAATATTTTATTATTTTTATTTAGGTTGTACACCTCGAAATAATAATACATTAGGTCGATATTTTAAAGGTCAAATTCGTTCTGCAAAATTTACAAAAATGGCTGAACATGTTTCAAGTGAAGAATTTCCTAAATATCCAGTTAGTTCAATGATTATTGAAGCCCATGAACCAAGAAAACTTAATGCATCAACATTTATTAATTATTATAATTTAAATGGTGTTAATTTAGTTCGACCAAAATTTTTCTTTGATAATAAATCTTTTGATGGTTTTCAATATTTAGAAAATCTTGAAGCTATTGAACTTGATGCTGAAACAATAAAAGGTAAAAAAATCAAAAAAAATATTTGAAGAAAATTTTTTCTTAACTTTATATATATATATATTAGATAATACATTTCAACATGTTAATCGTATAAGATTTTTTACACTTGGACAAAATGTTCGTTATTTATCTGAACATTCACTTGATCATTTAGATTATTTAACACGTCTTGATTTATCAAAAGTTATTCTTGATCAATTATATCCAACATCAAAATGTATTTTAGCACGTTATTTAAATAAACAACAAAAATTAAATCCATCAATGATTATTCTTCCACCACAAGCTGAATTTTGTGATTGTGTTTATGATTTTATATTAAATATTTTAAATAAAAAAGCTGAACAATCTTATATTGATTTATGTCAAACTACTCAACAAGAACGTTGTCAATTAAGTGAATGTGATGTTGTTAAAAATTTTCGTATACCATTACAAGAAAATAATATAGAACAACATATTATTCCATCAATTGATGAAAGTTTTATTGATACACCAATATCATTTTATCCAATTGATGATCCAATAACAACAACAACAACAACAGCAACAACAAGAGCACCACCACCATTACCACCAGTTTATTATCAACCAATTCATATACCTCAACATCCACCTGTTTATCATAGTTCTCAATCAGATGATAATAATGATGATGATTCAATTGGTTCATCTTTTGCAGATACACAGGTGATTATTATTGATCCAATACAGTTGTCATCATCATCATCACCACCACCACCACCACGATCTTATTTCGTGGTTAGAAAGCGAACGAGAAAGGGAAAGAAACAATCTCGAAAACATTTTACTCAGAATAATTCATCATCTTATTCCTATCATGGACCACATTGGTGATCGTTTTGTTTTATTATAGTTTTTTTGATTCTCTTTCCCTTCCTATTTTTTTTTTCATACATCATTTTGTTATTGTTATTTTTATCTTTTACCCCTGTTGTCCTTACATATTTTCACATAAAGTATAGATTAGTAGAAATATGAGAATTTTCTTAAAAGAAAATTAATTTCTTCTTGTTTTTTGATTTAATTTCATTTATTTTCTTCTTAGGATTTACATGCATCATCATTCAAAATCAATAAACCAATTGATCCAAATGCAATACCAACAGATGATCATGATGAAAATTTAAATTTACCAACAACAATACATAAATCACAATCTTTACATAATAATTATGATGAATATTATCAAATTTCAAAAAAAAATAAAATATTAAAATGGATATCATTAACATTAGTAGGTATTACAATTTTAAGTATTATTCTTATTGGTACAATGGTATGGTTTTATACTTATCATGTACCTAAAACACATAATAAAGCCAAATTTCAACGTGTTCCACCAACTAGTTCAAATGTTTAATTATAGTCTTTCGTAACAAAAAAAAAACTAACTAACTAACAATACTAATATGCGTATTTTTATGATAATCCGGTGATAGAACTTCTACTTTTTTTTTTCGCTTTTATTTTTTCTTTGGCTTTATATAATTATATTGTTGATGAACAGAAATGTTTATACAAATGGAATGGACCGATGGGAAAAGACAAGATGAAGAAGTACAATAACCCATTAATGACCTTGTTTTGTATGGAAACGATTATGAATGAATGACGTACATTTGTTCTCTTGTATTCTTATCGTTTAATGTCAACTCAGGGACAATATATTCTTTAAAATGCAACTAGTTTATACCCATCAACATTCCTTTTATTTGCAAATCATGTTGAGCTTCAAATCAAAATCAAAAAAAAACTATGTTGAGTTATGTTGTTCTTTTTTTTTTAGAAATATTATCCATTTATCTTTTTTTTTGTTTTATTTTATTCATTTTTTGCACGAAAAAAAAAAAAAAAAATTTTTTTGTTTCTTTTTTCTGTCCATTATTGTTATTTTAATAGAATAGAACGTTGCACACATATATTGAGTTAAGGTTTTCTTTTTTTTTGAGGGGAAAAGAGTTTTATTATTTATACATTTTGTTTTTTTTCTTGTTTTAAATTTTGTTTTTACATCTGAAAGAAAATTTATTTCATCTGTTAAAAATTGACATAGATTTTATGGATTATTCTTGTTGTTTATTTTTTCTCTCAATTTAAGAGAATAAGACATATCGAAATAGAATATCTTTAATGATCAGTACAATTAACAACATGTACTTATAATTAACAAAACAGACGATGTCTAGAAGTCTTCTGTCAATATGATTATCAGTACAATGTCATAAGATAGCTTATATATAGACTTGATAACATCTTTGTTCATGCCATGTATATACTAATGATAAAGTCGAGGTCATCAATGTCTTTGATAACATATTTAAGATAGATCTTAAATAGTACTATTTGTTACTCTTTTATTAATATATAATGACATGTACAACAGAACTAGAATATATATATCGCCAGACAACAGTTGTCCTTCAATCAAGAGAAAATTACAGACATCAAGGTCTACAATCATTTTAGTACTTTGTTTTATGAGTCTTTTTAATCTATACAAATGTTCGCACCATTGTGAATAATGTGCATTTATGATATGTCATTTGTACACTTCACTTCAATAAATAATCGTTATTTTATCATATCAATGATAGTAAAATAACCATATGGCAAGTGTGACTCATTGCTCTACCCCTTTTCATTTATAAATGATTAAGTTCTCCGTAAAAAGAAATTTGAGTTTCTTCTAAAAGTACTACTAAAGGGGATCTTCACTTCTTTTCCTTTATGACAGTACTGATCGTCATCTATATTTTCTCGTTAGTTAAAATAATTGGTTCATTGTGATAATTTATTCATACTTATCTTATTAACTCTTTCATTATTGTACATATCTTTACGTCACTATTTAACTTCTGCTTGACTGCTATCTTCAGTCGACTATTTCTTCATCTATTCATATTATTCTTGTCTTGTTCATTATCTGATAAAATACATTGATGAATCTACATTTATCTTCAAATCAACTTACTATTATTTTATCACATGTAACCACTTGAGATCATATCTTGCTATACTTCAATTGATTCCAATATCGAGTACGATTTGAGTTGTATCTCTTGTCTACCTATGAAAATCATCATCTGCATGACTGCTGTTGTATTTAATTTATCATTTATCACCAGTAATCAGACTGTTTCATTACTTCAACCTGCTCTTAAAAACATGTTAGAACAAATGTGCTTATGATCTGATCGTCTCGAACGAGCAATAGTTTCCTGTTCACCTATCATTCAGTCCTTTCCGGTCAACATTGATTTATTTCCATTGTAGAGTCATTCATATTGTTGATTTCTAAGTAGAAAATCGATTTTGAGTCAGTATTATGTAGGTTTTAATGAGTTATGAATATTCTGAAAAGACTTTGGACGAATAGCTTATTTCTGGCGAGATAGTGCATTGCAATTTTTCAAAGAGATAGGTCTTAATTAAAATAGCTTATTTTAAGGGTTACAGATTGTTCGATTGCGCCTATTCGAAAATAAGAATTAATCGTGGTATATGAGCAGCATGGAAAAAAAGGGCTTTTACCATAGCCGTACCATAGAATAGAAGCAATCAATAGATTTCAAGTTTTTGAATAAACTATTCTCGTTCACTTCTGTTTCTATGTCAAGCTTTAAATCGAAATTCAGTTTTCCTAAGGCGAATCATGCCATTCTATTAAAAAAATATAGTACACATATAACATTCTAAGTTAGCCTGAACTCTTTTCTAGTTATTCATCGCTCATTAGAATTAACATGATGTATTTTGTCCTAACCTAAAAGTGATTTGAAACTTCGAAACGTTCCCTAAATAACTTTATTCATTCATATGTAATCTCGTTTTGTTCACTCAAATCCTTTATTATCAACATTTTGGTTTCTATTTCATCAACTATTACTACTACTCCAGTATCATATATCATCTGATAGTAGTACATGTGATCCCATCCTGTTGCAGCTCATTCCTCCCCCTATCATTTTTTTTTCTGGCTACACCACTAATCGATAGAACCGAGGATAATTCTATGTATATTCCATGTAGATGATACAAGAAAAAAAAAACCAATTAAGATCATTCACAGTCAACCTATATAATTCGAGGTCAGATCAATGTATCATTAACGCAGCTTTACTAGAGAAGACGATGATTGAATCAATAACAATTATTTATAGAACTGAATCAGTAATTCTATACTACTGAAAAAAGTATCAATAATGTAAATTGATATTAAATTTAAACAAAATGTAAACAATCATTTGTTTGTTTTGTGTTTGAATTCTGAATTCGAAATAAAAATCCAGATGGCACTATTGATCGAAAAAAAAAACTTGCCAGGTTTTTCGTTTTGATTGGATACACTTTGAATTTAATCCAAATGAAAACTCCTCCTATTGAGTAACGTTGCGTGGCATGTTATTGTCAATCAATTCACTTCAAACATCTATTTAAAAAGCAAAATATTCTATACATAAAGAAACAAAAAAAAAAACAATCACCGTTTTTTCTTTTTGGTTCTTTTTTCAAAATGTATTCATTCTATTTTATTCTCTGTTTCTTTATTTTACTTTATACATTTCATAATACATATGCTGATGATAAACCAAAAGTTAAAAAAGATCCAAGAGATTTTACTGAGAATGATGTTAATAATCTATTTGAAGAATGGGAGGTAAATGTTTTATGCTTGATGTTATTTCTGTTTTTTTTTATAGAAATTGAACAAGAATTTTTTTGTTTGATATAGGAAAATGATGAAGATGTATTACCTGAAGATGAACGACATGATTTTTATTTACGTCATCCATATGGTAAACATCAACCACCTATGTTTAAACCAGATGAATTAGTTGGACAAGATCCACAAAATTTATTAAAAATGACAAAAAAAGGACAATCATTAATGATGTTTGCAAGTGTTTCTGGTAATCCTACAAGACGAGAAACAGAAGAAATAACACAAATATGGTGGGCAGCTTTAAAAAATGCTTTATATGATGTAACTAAGTAAGTTTTTTTTTTTTTTCAATAAAAGATTTTTTGATCTTTTCTTCTCATCTCATATAGATATATTGTTGATGATAGTCGAGTATTATTTCTTTTACAAGATGGTTCACAAGCATATGAAGTTAAAGATTATCTTGTTCAACAAGATCGTTGTCAAGAAGTAACAATCGATAATCGACCATTTTTAGGAAAAGGAGCACAAGTAAACAAACTATATTAATCCTTTTCTTTGTTTTTTTTTTCAATAATTTTCTTCATTTTAGAATGCTCAACAAGCAAAAGCTCAAGATTTATAAAAAGAAAAAAAAATCATGAATAGAATTGTTTCTTTTTTTTTTGCTAATCTTATTATATTTATTTTGTTGACTAGTCACTTCATTAGTTAGTGGGAATATTTTTTATTTTGCACCAAAGTATTTGATCTATGAATTGTGATGAAAGTTTTTGTCATTTTTTTTCTCTCATGGGATACAACTTTTTTGTTTTTTTTGATTAATTATTTAAATAAATATAATGGGCGAAGAAAAATAATCTAGACGAAAAATTAGATACTACTAGAATATCGTATTTTTTGAAAGTTATATTGAACACGGTATCTTTTTCAAATTGGTTTTATTTTTACACGAGAAAAGTAATGACCTATAGAGATTTGCTGAAAATTCATGATGATTTATTGAGTTACTCTTCTGATTGAGAACTGAAATGTGAGCTCATTGGATCTTAAATTTTTGGAACCAAAGTTCGGTCGAATCGTACTATTGTAACTTTCAATGAAATTTTCTAATTGGAATCGAATAATTTCATGATTTCAAAATTTTCAGATCCTGAGCCGAACTGATTCCGGACTAATCTGATGATATCTATTACTCACGTCGTCAAAATCGGTTCAGCATTGACGATTTATCAGTGAATTTTGCAACAAACTTCAATAGTAAGCATTTTTTTAGATCAATCTTAAGAGTCAAATGAACAGCAAATATTGTTCTTTTTTTTATAATGCTATGGCATATGCGAAAGACAAAATCATCTGTTTCCTTATTTATGGATGCAATGATAAAAAAAACCGATCGTATACCCGTCGAGATACAGTCGTAGTTCTAGAGTCGACAATTAGGAGTAAATCCAATTATCGTAAATATTGAAAGAAAAATCGTAATGACACCAGTTTTATCTCAAAAGTCTTTTTTTTTTTATTAAATTTCTCTTATTCAAGAATTCTAGAAAACCTTTTTTTTTTTAGAATGTCTAGCAAAAGATTAATTTAATTTCTGCAGAATTATGAATCTATTTATTCAAACATTGGAAAATATACTTTAAGAGAACAACTAAAAAGAATTCTTTTGTTTAGTAAATAAATATCCGATAAAAAAGAAGTTATAATTTATTAAACTTTTTTGTTTAAATATTGACGAGATTATAATATAGCTTATGTCATCTCTTGACTATTATCTGTAATAATCCATTGTTTGACGAAATTAGAAACTATTCCGACAATTAACTTTTCTTGAAGTTACATTAGAGATATGGACATTAGTACATATTATCTAATAGGAAAAAAATTATCGACAAATGTAGTTTAATGAAGATTCGTCATTGTTCGCTGTATTACCACAGATGGATAACATTAGCAAATAATTCTAGCTGAAATAAAATCAAGATCATTTTTAACTATCCGGAAAGAATCAACTATTATTGTATTGTAAAATATTGATCTAATTTAAATCTGAAATTACACTAATAATGAACAGATTTTCTTATATAACAATAAAAAAATTCTTTATTTTGAATAATAAATCTTTTCAATCAAATATTATAAATTTTAATCATTGGTGAAACATCAAAGTAAACTTTACAATCTTATAAAATATAATAAATCTTCTTATATTATATTCTATTTTTTAATATGTTACATAATTCTTCTTTTTGTTGAATTATCTCTGATTATCTTCTATAAGCTCTTTTTCTCAATCAAAAGAAGAAGAAAAAAAAGAAGTTCCAATATATGTCTTTCACTTTCTATTATCATCATACAGTTAAAACGATTGATGATCTAGTATAGAATTGTTACTTGAGATCAAATGAATAGCAAAAAACTCTAGATGATTTGTCATATATGTCGATCTCTTGAGATTAAGAAATTGAATAGATCTCATTGTCCTTGTTGTCTTCATTGATGCATAGATAGTGATTGTCAAGTCTCTTGGGAAAATGAATGAAGTCATTTTCACATTTATGATATATATACATTTGCATCTTCTGACGTAATTATTTGATATGAGAGAATTTGTTCTTCTTGCTTCTCTAATCGATTCGATTTAGAATCAATTTCGATGATTGTACAGCTTTTATTTTATTTTTTCTTTTTCGTTTGTATGTCATATATCAATATTACAATTGCATTTCATTTTATTGACATTCACTCGAGAGTTGACTTGTCATTATTTGAATATCGGTAACTACTCTTGACAGTTTATTTCATTCTTTTTTGTCGACACAAGAGAATAAGAGGGGAAAAAAAAATCGTTAACCATCTGCTTATATGCCAGTTTTATGAATATAAAAAAAACATTTATTCTATCAATTTCTTTCTTTTTCTTTTTTTGACACATTCGAACAAGAGATGCGCAATTTTGTTATAGAAGAATATATAGAGTTTAGTTCTCATGTACGTTTGGCTTCGTCAGTACCACAAGAAATTAGAAAGAACGAGAGAAAAATAGCAGTAGTAACAAAACAAATAGCAGATAGAACGGAAATATATTTATTTATATATATGTGCGCAGACATAGTGATGGACGCTGGGTGTCTGCCTGTCTTATCACCATCAGAGTAGCCGCTACTTTTTCATTATTTTTTACATATACATAGGATGCTTCTATATCCCATTGCGATGATTATTTTCTATCTTCTTCTTTTAGCAAAATGATGACAACGCTTTCGTTATGATTATTGCTTTCATCAGTATTGTCTTTCCATTTTACTTTTTTTTTTTTTATTTTATCTATAAATCAACGTGCATATATAAAATAAAGATAACCGGGAAAAAGAGGGAGGTGCTTTTTTTTTCTATGATCGATAAATGAAATTATTAGATCATCTGATTATATATTTATGTATGATGATGATAATACACTATAGTTGCTGACAATTTAATACATAATTATTTCTGTATATATGATCTTGTAAGTTTTCTTCTGAAGCCATTTTGTACTTTCTTTCTTTTTTTTTTTTTGATATATTATTTAAAAGATATGTTAACTTCTAGTCTCATCATTTTAGGGTCAATGCTTTTTATTTGTTTATATTGTTCCTTTCTTTTAGTGATATTAAAGTATATGTTTGTATTCTATCGATCTTCTTCTCTTTTTTTTTGTTATTAAAGAATTCACTACTTATCAATGGAATGAAGATGATGTCGGAAATGCATAGTGTCTGTATATTTACAATAATAATATTACTTACTAGATCATCTGTTCGATGCGGTATCAATCTATGATGTAGACAACTAAACTAAAGAGATAAAAAAAATAAAAATAAAAGATCAACATATGCAATCAAATCAAGTGAATAAAAGAGTAATGCAAGCATATGACAGACAAAAAAAAAAAAACTTGTCTATCCTAGACGATAATCAATGTGGTTAGTTGTAGTTTTTTTTTTTTTTTACTTCCGTCGATTGTTTTATCTACGAAGTGTATATTCATTTTGCTTCATAGACTAATTCTATTCTGTCGATTTCAATTAAATAGAGATTCAACATATTTTTACTTGCTTATATTTTATTCTCTTCTAAATAGTATATTCTCAGATTGGAACTATATATCCCATGAGATTTCGATGAACATAAGTCTATTCACAATTCAATTAATGTTACAACTTTTTTTTTTTTGTATTATTTTCTTCTTGTCTTATTTCATCATAAATTTAACATATTTATATTTTACTCAAACTTGACCTTGTTTTAGATAAAATCAACTGAGTCTAAAAAGGAGAAAAAAAATAGAAATCAAAGAATGATATCCATGTGAAAGATAGTCTATGCCGTCTTTTCGTACAATTTAATTATGCGGATAGATTATGATAAAGATAGCTATAAGACATTTTGTAGCACGATTAAGAGCGATTAGTCTTTCATTTGCTTTGAGTATAGTTCAAAATGTCATTTTTTTTTCTTTCTATGTATATCATTTGTCTGTCTCTTGTTCTAATGGTCCTTCTCATTTTAAAGAATGTTGCTCATTTACGTCGCCTTTCGCTAACACACTATTATGATTATTTCTATCTATTATTATTTTTTTGTTCGTCTCCTCATCGTATGTCAGTTGTATCAGTTTTTCGGCAATAGTATCATGTCTTCCTGTACTACTATCATAGTCATCACTATGTCAAATTAACAAGAATATAGACAAAGATAATAATAAATTGCTGACTTCTCATTTTTTTTCTTCTCCTCTGTTTCGTGTTCTTTTTGTCTTTCCGTTCCATCTTTCTTTCTTTTTTTTTTTATTCATTGAAATAACAGAAGAATAGATGTATTTTATTTGTCACCATTTTAGAACAACACAATATTCACATAATAACAAGATTTATTATGATTAGAGAATTAAAAAAAACAAAAAAACAAATTTTACTTGTTTTTTCATTTTAGAGTAATAAAAATGAATATATATCTTCTAATATTCCATTATATATATTAAATAAATGGAAGAATATATACGACAACGAATTGATTGTCCACCATTAGGTGGTACAAGAATGTTACTTGAAGAAAAAGATAATATTATAAAAAAACAACAAAATGAATTAAATAAATTACAAATTGAAATAAAAAAAATTCAAATCGAACGTAATTATATATTATCATTACTTTCTGATAAACAAAAATCAATTATTAATAATATGTAAGAAATTTTTCTTATTTTTTAGTCTATCGATTTATTTCAATTAGTTGTGATAGTAGAAGATTAAGTCTCTTTATAATCAAGGTTATATATGCATGTGTTTGCTTTTGCGTAATCAACTTTAAGTTGGTAAGCATATGTGCGCATGTATTCTGTCATCAGATAGATAGATAAATGTGCGTAGCTGCTATCATAGATGCGTGTCGAACTACTAGACAGACAGTGTTCTATGCTACAGGGCAAACAGTGACAAGACATTTTTGATCCATATTTCTTACTTACATGCGTCATCATTCATCAACTTTGACAATTAAACAAGATCGAAGTCCTTAATCCTTGACATTTATTAGCTGAAAAGCGTAATTCATCTTTTTTTTGTTTAATATATACTTTCTGAAAATGTTCAATTAGTTGTTTTTGTTTTTTGTCTATTTAAATATTTAATTTATTATTCAATATTGATAATAATAGGAAAAAAAAAGTTCTTTTTGTTATTATGAAAAAATAATGTCAATATATAAATATCAATTTTTGATGCAAAACTTTTGATTAAGGTCTAATGAAGTATATAACAGTCAACTAATAGAATTGCATTCAATAGTAATTTCTTCTGTCAGCTTGTCAATACTTTTACATGTTGTTTATTTTTGTCATCATAGTCATATCTGTTACATCATCAGAAAACTCATCTTCTTATTTCCATTCTGAATATCAAATTTATACATAAGTTAATCAATATTTGCTCATATATCTATTATTAATAATATTTATGTAGGACGATCATCCTAATTTAGACGCAAAATAGTTCTATAAATCTTTAATTAGTTTCCTTTTTTTTTAATTTTTGTTTGTTTCTAGACTTGATTCTACAACATCTTCAATAATAAATATAAATAATATTCAATCATTAGTATCATCAAATAATCATTCAATAATAAATTATGAACTTTCACAAGATCTTCATGATAAACAAATTGAAATTCTTGAACGTAAATATGGTGGTAGTTTACGTTGTCGTCATTCAGCAATAATAATTCAACGTGCATATCGTCAATATAAATTACGTGAAAATTTTCGTCATTTATGTGCAACAATGAAAACAAATAAACGTTTATCATGTACATTTATTAATAATAATCATATTCAAACAATAAAACCATTAAAACCATGTTTAAGAATATCAAAAAATTCTGAATTACATTATCCTAATCATCATCATCTTGATTTACCATCAATTAATTTTGAACATTTTATTGAATTTACAAAACAAGAAAAATCTATATCAACAAATCGTAAACGTGTTTGTATAATAACTGATAAACCAATAATAAAAAATATCTATAATCAAGTTGATAATATAAGTGATTTTATTGATAATCAAAAAAATGATAATAATGAATTATTAAAAGTACAATCATCAATAAATGATATAAATTTTTATAAAAATTTAATTGATTCACCTATTGAATGTCGAAAATCGATGCCATCGGGTAAAATCCTTGACTATATATATATAAATAGACAAAACATATTTTATCAATTGAATTCATTTAACCTTGTTCTGAAAATGAGAAACAAACATCTGATAAAGAAGAACCTTTTGTAGCTACTATATATTGCTTTTGCCATTTTCTTTATTACATAATAATCTTCAAGAAGCAACAAAAAAAAACATTATATTCATTATTTTTTATTTTTCTCTAGTACAAAATTTATCAATAAAATCTTCAGAAATGAATACATCACCAATATGGAAAAGAAAAACTTTATCAACAATTCAATCACCATTAAATGAAACATCAGATTTATTAACTGAAAATTTAAATCATTCAATAATTACATCTATAAGTCCATCATCAACAATAAGTTCAGATCGTGATAATATGAGTTTACAATCAACAAGTAGTAGTTCTAATTCAAGTTCATTATCAAATCGTAATTCATCAAATTCTATTGAATTACATCAACAACAACAACAACAATTATTAATTATTGAAGATCAAACAACTTTACAAAGACATGAACGTAAATCAAATATTCATACAAATGATATTTATAGACGACGATGTTATCGAGTAGGATTAAATATATTTAATAAGTATGTTATATTTAAATATTCGTTTTAATAAATATAATAAAATAAAAAATTCCTATGTTGATTAAAGTATTATTTAAATTTAATAGAATCTTATATAAGAACTTTTCGGAGTATCTAAATTAATGAACATGTTTAAATATTATTTTGTACTAACTACTATATAAATACTTATTATATTGTATATCTTATAATAAAAACTATTGAACTGTTCTTTCTATTAGGAAAAGACAATTGAAAATGACAGAAGCATAAATAACAATCAATAGATTTTTATACGAAATGACAATTATTATTTTATATTAATAAAAAATCTTTTTTTTTGAATTTAAAAGAAAATTATCTAAATAAATTTAATCCTATTCTTTTAATAATATATTCATAAACAGAGATGTTGAAATTATTTAATAAATAGTAGATGTTTTTTTTTCATTGTTAGTAACTTCAAATTCAATGAATATCCTTCTTCCTGTTGTAGGCATTCTTTTTTTTTTTTTGAAGAATTATGAATAAATATTTCAATCGATATATTTTTATTATTGAAAAAATTCATTTCGGTTAAATATATATATATAGAAAAAAAGAAATAAATGTAATATTATTAATAACTATTGTATGAGTAAACGGGAAATCTAATGTCTATTTATTTTGACGTTTTATGATTATTATCGTTCAATCGTTTTGATTGATTTTTCTTTTTTTACTTAAAAACTAAATTGAATTATTTAATAATAGGAAACCTGAACGTGGTATTCGTTATTTAATTGCTCATCATTTTATTGAAGCAAATGCTCAATCTGTTGCACGTTTTTTACTTTCACGTAAAGGTTTAAGTCGTCAAATGATTGGTGAATATCTTGGAAATTTACAAGATTCATTCGCTATGCAAGTCTTACAGTAATTATGATTTTTGTTTTTGTTCATATCAGTTCTTTTTTTTTTCTTTTTTTGAATATTATAGTGCATTTGCTAATGAATTTGATTTTCATGATATGCCTATTGATATTGCATTAAGAAAATTTCAAGCATCATTTCGATTACCAGTAAGAGTTTTTAAAGAAAAAAAAAAAAAAAATCAATCATATTATTTCTTTTTATTAAAGGGTGAAGCACAAAAAATTGAACAATTAATGAAGGTAAATCAATCTTGAAAAAAGCTTTAATATAAATATGAAGAGTACTTAACTTTATTGAATAAAGTTAATTAAACGAAAAAAAAAAAAACGTTTTCTTTTTTTTTTATTATTTTTTTTTTGTTATATATTCAGGTGTTTGGACAACGTTATCATATAACAAATCCTTCGTCATTACTGACAAATGTTGATACAATATTTATATTAGCTTTTGCTATAATTATGTTAAATACTGATTTACATAGTCGAAATATAAAACCTGAAAGAAAAATGCGTTTAGAACAATTTATTAAGAATCTTCGTGGTAAGATCAGTGACTTGTTTATAATTATATAAACATAGAATGCTTTTTAGATAGAACATTTTCTTTCATCTCTAAAATACATGACCATTTATGTTTATAGTTATGTCGATTTTCTTTTTTTTTTTTGCCAATGTAAATATAGAGAGTACGGAATATAATGAATCTTTTTGCCATTACTATAGACTACAGCATAGTTGCCGTAGTGCAAGAAGCGAACTGCACTGATTGCCAATTTGTCACTTTTTTTTTTTTTCTTTTTCTCGTTTGCCAGCTTACATCGACGTTCGTGTAACGAAGGATTACACTATAAGGAAAAGTTTTCTTTTCCTTATTTTTTTTTTTTGTCTCCTGTTTTTTTTTTCTCATGGCAGTATATGTTTCCGTGATCGGACAAAAAAAAAATGTATGTGAAATCTTTCTTTTGTATGCATGTATATAACTTGCGTGTCAGATTAATTTGTCAGTGTATGAACCGAAATGGATCGGAGAAGAAGAGAAAGAAGCCTCAACCAATCTTATAGTTTGTTCAACCTGAAATACCTTTATTCTCATCATATTCAATAGTTACATTGAGTAATGACTATATAAGTTTCTTTTCTCTTTTGTTTCTCTTAATGAGCCACGCATGCATACATTGGCCGGATGGAACCTCGGATTGCGCATCGATAGATAATCGAAAGGACAACACGCAGCATCATCTGTATACATACATATATATATATATATGAAGCTCTAATATTGCATGCTAGACTCGTATATAGAGAGCACAGTTAGGCAAGAATCAATTAGGAAACGCTTCTTCAAGTAAACAATACTACAAGCACCACTACCACAAATTGACCATCTGTAAGCAGCAAATAAAAAGAAAGCGAAAAAGAGAGAGAGAGAGAAAGAAAGAAGAGACGACAAGGCAATCCAAGTGGGGAATCGTTCTCATCGTCTTCTTTCATTCTCATCAACTGATATTTCTACTGCCACATTTATTCTATACTTACTGATAAATAAATCTTTAATGTGTCGAACATCACTGACGTTCGTCTCTTTCTTTACTTATATTACAAATAGAAAAAAAAAATAGTATGAGTGTAAGTTACTCAAAAATCTTATAGGATTACACACACACACACACTGTTGCTTCATTACTAATCATGGTAAGAAAAGTTAGAATCTCTTTATATCTTTATATTTAAATGAGATGTATAAGCTGTAAATAGTGAAGCATCTTGTATATGTTGTTGTCAATAATGATAGACATATATCTAATGAAGCGCAACGAAATAGAGTTAGAAAGAAAGATGTAACAGATTAGACAACATTGAACTAATATTAATGTAAAACGAAGCCGTTTGTCATGTAAGTACATTATTCCAATGAACTATTGTTAAAAAGATAAAAAAGAAAAGAAAAGAAAAGAAAGAGACAAAACAATGACAGTAAATTATGGAAACGAAGAGCATAAATGAGATAATCTTTATGCAGACAGATATAGGATTTCATTCAATGTTACGAGAATGCGTATTGATAAGTTTGATATGATTAGCGAATTCCAATGATGACAGACGAAATCTGATTTTTCTTTTGTCATATTATTTATACGACATAATACATTTCAGAACTTGAGTTATTAACATTTTCTTTTTTTTTTTCTGATTAAAATCTTAGTTTTTATTAACATAAAATTTTAACAATATTTATATATGTTTTCTTTGATAATAGAAGTTTGTTTTAATCAATATATAAGTCTTTATGATCGATTTTGTCAAACTAAATTAAAGTATTTAATCTCGTTTTGTTGTGCAAAGAAAAACTTTTTTTTTATATATATATAAGCGGAAGAGAAAGAGAAAGTAGAAAGAAAATCGAATCATACGGTTTCTCTTTTCAAACTAAAAGAAAACACCCGCTACTACCATTGCTTGAGGAGTAGCTCTTGTTTTTCCTTTTTTTTTTGTTAGATCCTTCATTCGGTTGATTACTATAAAGAGGCAAAGGAAGAGAAGGAGAAAGAGAGGGAAGAGAGTCGATTTCCGCTTTGCGCACAATCCGACACTCGTTCGTTAAAGACAAGTGGAAGAAAACTCTTCTCTATAAGAACAAGCATTTACTCATTTATTCACTCACTCATCTACTACTTCTTCTCATCATCAATCCTGTCAAGGTCTTTCGTTTATAGTCAAAATTGAATTTTGCTTCGGTTCGTGTAGACTTCTGTGAACGGACTCACTTTATGTCAGTAATACTATTAACATTACGAAGAGAAACAGAGCAAGAGGGAGAGAAGGAAGAAGAATTATTGCTTTCTTCGATGTTTTGTCAATAGGAAAAGCTAAAAGAAAAAAAAAAAAGGAAAGACTACGAGAGAGAAGAAGCAAAGAAAAAAAAAATATAAAGAATAGAATCAAAATCGATCATTTCAATTTTCACAATACTATAGACTAGACTGATTTTTTTTTTCTGCAAATCGCAAGAACGATAGAGAGAATGGAACAAACTAAAAATGTTGCATTGAACCGGAGACAGAGAGAGAGAGTGCGGCTTTTTCTTCGCTTCCTTTTTGGATGTATGTTAGAGGAAAAAATGTAAAGAAGAAAATCATCATCTATAAATCATCGACCGCTTGCATGCGTAGTAGTACCATTCAATACTATCGTTCGCTTGTCGTTGTTAAGCTAAAGCAAGCGAGAGAGAGAGAGAGAAAATTATATGTCAACAGACATTCAACTTGATTCTTTTCTATTCTTAATAATGATTATTATATTTCTAGCAATTGATGACGGTGAAAATCTTGATATAAACTATTTAACTGGTATTTATGAACGTATACGTGCTGATGAATTTCGTCCGGATGCTGATCATGTAACACAAGTAGCTAAATTTGAACAAATATTAATTGGTAAAAAACCAATATTAATAGCACCACATCGTCGACTTGTTTGTTATTGTCGATTATATGAAATATATGATTTAATTAAACGTGAAAAACTTACAAATCATCAACGTGAAATATATCTTTTTAATGATTTACTTGTTGTAAGTTTTAAACAAAAAAAAAAAAAAAAAAAATTTTTTTTTTTTTGTTTTTAATTAGATTACAAAATTATCTGGTAAAAAACATCAACAATTTCGACAAGCATTTCGTTTATCAGGAATGAATATTTATTTATTTGAAACAACATGTAAAATTAAATTTTATATATTTATATATAAATTTAATTTAATTTAATTTTTAATAGATTATCAATATGGTATTCGTCTTGTACGTAAATCAAATATGAATGAAATAAATTTAATATTATTTCATGCAAGAAATGAACATGATCGTAGAAAATTTTGTGAAGATTTAAAAGAAGCTATATTTGAAATTAATGAAATTGAAGATTTACGTATACAATCTGAAATTGATAAATTACGTTGTTCATCAAATTCACTTGTTGATATAACAAATAATAATGGAGTTATTTCATCATTAATTGATTATCCAACAAATAAACGTGATAGACCATTATCAAGAACATTATCAAATTCATTACTTGATATGACATTAACTATGAGTAAGGAAATTATTTTATTTAATTATATTTATAACTTGATGTTTTTCTTTTTCGTCTGATTAGGTAATCATTCATCGTTACCATGTCGAATATCTCAATGTTCACTTGATAGTGGAATGGTAGGTAAAGAAAATAGATTTGTTTTGTTTTTTCTAAATAATGATCATATCCTTTTCACAACCAAAAAGTGTCCATTCGACATGATTTTATGGTTGCTTTCAGGTTGTGTATAGGATGGATTAATCTTTATATTCTTTTGTTCTTTCTCTTTGGTTACATTTTAGAGTATCATTATCTCATTTCCCTTTCTTTCTTTCTTTCAGGTATCATTAGCAAATGAATTTTCACCAAATACTAGAATAATAATGCGTTGATAAGCGGAAAAAATAAATGTGAACTTATTCATTGTATAGATAACGATTGATATGTTTGTTTGTCTCTTTTTTTTTTTTATTATTATTATTTATATTCATAAGGCTAGTCAGTCAAATGTAAACAGTTGTTTTTTTCTTTTTCTTTAATTCCTTTTTGTTGTGAAATAAAATAATTTTTATTCAATAATAATTTGATTAGAAACAAAAAAATATATATATATATATTTATTTTCAATCAACCGTCGGAGCTTATGATATTAACATGTTTTGTTTAAGGAAGAAGACATGATTACGAATTGGATTGGACTTGTTATAATAGAACTCTGCAAATATTCTATGAAGGCATCTATTGAGAATATAGAAAATAACCAGTGAATGACATATGTATTTAACAGATTATAAAAACTATCGTATATGTGTAGTTTTAGTAAGGATTAGTAGAGAATAAGGCAAATCTTATATGAAACATAAAGCTATGGCTATGATATAATGAATAGGATGATTGATCTCTTGTTTAAGTTTTTTTTTTACAGAACAGGAAATATGGCAAAACTACGCATTAATAAAAAAAAAAGATACTAAATATAAAGAATAGATACATATAAGAAAAGTAATCAATTTTGTAATAAAAATATTTCATTTCAATTGTTTAAACACTTTATTCAATAGGTTTTAAGTCAATAAGTTGATAAATTTAATTTTTAAATATTTTAACAACATACAAATCTAATATATTTTATTTGAAAAGAAAAATCAGACTCAATGACAACATGATTTTCATTTTTCATATTCTATTGTTGTACAAACTTTTTCGATGTGAAAATAGTAAACTACTTCATAAGAATTCATCAGTAAGTATGTTTTGTTGAGAAAAATATTTCATACATATATTTAGACACAATACGAAGTAAGATCTGAATGCTTGATATTCGAAACAATGTAAAAAAACAAAAAGACATTGTTTTGTGATATGCTTGTATTTTTCTATTAGTGTCAAGGATAAATAGTTTTGAGAGATGTCTGAAAAATTTATCTCTAATATAACCAACTTATAATCGTGACTTTTACATATAATGAAGATTTTTCATTTTGTAAACTTTCTGGATATCTTGAATAGGTTTTTTTTTTGTTTCTTGAAATATCTGAATATATAAAATCTAAAATGACGAAAAAGATAACCAATATAACGTTTTGATATTCGAAACACTTTACATAAACATATGATTATAGGAAACTATTATAAACAATAAAAGAAAACAATCGAAGCGAAAGATTCATAAGAGAAAAGACTACAGGAAACATAGTCAAAAAGAAAAGAAAAAAAAGCTTTACACTATGTAGAAAATATGTAAGTATTATATTAAGGAAAAAGCAAAGTAAATTAATGTTTATCATATGAAGGAAGTTAATCACAGAATGACTCTTTTCTAACGTCTGACAGATCACAGACAATAGTTAACTTTTCCGTACCAAGATCTTCAAACTGTTCATTGAATTCAATGAAATATTTACTAAAATTCGCCTCGAGAATTTTTTTTTTATAACTTCCGAATCATTAAGTCTGAATACATTTTTATCAACTTGAACAAATCTCTTCGGATTAGTAATCATTTCCTCACGTTGATGGAAAGCATCTAATATTGCTACATTATTGGCATAGATTTTAATGAGAACTGAGTTACTTGAAGTGTCATGCATACCAGAAAATCTGCAATGCTTTCTCAAAGATTAACACAGTAGTTCAGTAATTTTCTATCTGATGATGTATAGTCATAATTTTATTCTGAATAAAAGCAAAGTTCGAATGATTGATTGGAATAGTATTATGATGAATTATAATTGCATCTTTGTATAGCCTTGAAAAATTTAGATGACTTCTCTTCATCTGAGTAAACTTTAGAAGCAGCTTTCAATCAATCGTTTTTTATCTAACTTTTATATATACATTAATATCTAAGTTTAGTATATACAATATTTTGATTCCGTTATCTTAATGATGTGTGCCTACTTCAAGTTACGTCATTCAAGAGGAAAAAAAAAATCTAACAGGAAACAATAGTTAATTATAATGCGTTTATTTATTAAAAAAACAGTGCCTCGGGAGCACTTTTGTAACCTTTTACAGTGTATTCTCCAGAAAATTTTTAGATCTTTTTACGCAAAAAAATGGTTTACAAGGTCATCAGACATAATTACAGTAATGTACATACAAAAAAAAAAGAAGTCTTTCTCAGATAAGAAAAATTTCTTTTATCTATTACTTAAACTCTCGTTTCATCTATACACTAGTCTGATAAGTTCTTGACACGGATGAACACATTCCTAATCCGAAAAAAATATATCTTTGAGGTGACGCGTATACATATGTTCTATGAAGGACGTCTTCTATGCTTGAAAATTTATTTCTTTTACTCTCAAGAATATGCAAAAAATATTTTATAAAACATACGCAAAGAACTAGAGAAATAATCTCAACGTGTATTCTCAACTACTCATTTTTTCTATAAATTGTTTCTTCAAAGATAATTATATTTATTTAAATGAACTAGAAATTAATAATTAAAGTTCGTAGTACATTAAACTTTAAACAGATTTCATATTTTAAATGTCATGAAAATAAACTATCTTATAATCGATATGATTCATATGTAAAATATTTCGTTTACATATATTTTGAAAGTAAAATTAGATATAGTTTGTACTTAGAAAAATAATATTGAGTACGATTCTTTATGTGTTAAATAATCTGATTGTCTATTGTATTTTCTATTTTTGAAAAACAATCTAAATGATCTATAACAATATATTTTCTTTTTTGCCTCATTAATGTGTTCGTTTATTTATTTTATAATTTGACACAAAGAGACAAAAATTCTTTATATAGTCTATAAATATAGATAAAAATGTGTGTGTATGAGTTACAAAAGAAAAAAAAATATGAGGTAAAATTTAAAATCAAATAGGTATTGAAATGTTCGTGTTGTTGTTATTATTATAGAATTATCGTGTTGATGAAAGAGATATCATTTCTGGTTGATACATCATTCTTGATGATTTATTAGAATTGAAGTTTTCTTCATGATCATCATATTCATCAATAAATTTAACATGTTTATGTATTGGTACTGATGTTGATCGATTCTTTATTAAAACATCATTTGTTGATCCAGTAATACTTTGTAAAATTTTTTTACTTGTTTCAACTGAAAAATTTCTTATAGCATTAAGATTATCATTAAGATTTCGTTGATGAATATTATTTGATTGTGGTTGACGTGAATGAATTAATAAAGATTCATCAGATGTATTTGTTAATGTTGTACGATCATATAATGATGAAGCACTATTTGATACTATATTTGTTGATCGTTTTGATGGATTAGAACTTAATCGTGAATGAGTATGTTCATCATCATCATATTTCATATTATCATTAATTTGTTCTTTTAACGGTACACGTACATCACGTTTTGAATGAGATCTAAGTCGAGTTTCATGATCAGGACTAGAAGCATGTGGTGATGATTGATGTAAATGAGAAGGCATACTATAATGATGTTGATTATATCTATTGTATGAATGTATATCAGGTAATGAAAGTAATCCTAAATATGTTTCATTAAATAATGGTACAAATGATGATGGAATTGGTGCATAATATGAATTGTATGAACGCATTATATTCCAATTTGGTTGTAATTTTTGATTGATTTTGTCAATTTTATTATTCATTGTTGTTTCAAATTGTCGATAACGACCAATAGGTGTTTTAAGATTTAATAATTTATTTTGTTCTTGTCGAACACGTCGTTTAAGTGTTTGTGGTGGTGTTGGTAAATCATAAGTAAGAATATTTGTTGATGATGCTAAATTCATTGCTTGTGCTATTGTTACACTTGTATTTTCATCATTAATATTAGTATTTGCAGTACGATCTAATAGAACAGCACTTTCAATTTCACTTTCATGTCTTTGACGCATTAATTGTAAACATAAATCATGATTACGTTGACGATCTTGTATTTGTTCTAATTTTTGTTCACGTAAATATTGAGCTTGTGTTGCTTTTAATTCTTCTTCACGATCCCATAAATTTAATTCTTCTAATTTATTCATTAAACGTCGTATACGATGTTCACGCCAATTAGGATTTAAACGTGTACGAGTTGTTTTTGGAATATATTTTTTTTCTTCATTTAATGAAAATAAATTATTTGAAATTTCAACTTTATAACTTTCAACAAGTACATCAACAAAATTAATTGGTGAATATGTTGATGAAAAAGAAGAATGACGAGATGAAGGTATTTCAATTTCTTCAACCATTGGAGCAAAACTAACTGAACGATTTTTTAATTGATTTCGACGATTATTATCAAGATTTTCTTTATTTATTTCATTAGAAGAAGAAGAAGAAGAAATTGAATTTGAATTTTCTATCAATGTTGTCTCAGCTTCAGATTCAAATTTAGTTGAAGTTACAAATAAATTTTCTTTTTCAATAGTTGTTGTCGATAGAGGCTCCTCAATTCGATCTACTTCTTCGTTTTCTATAGGAAGTTTATTGGTTGATGAGAAAGAATTTGTCTCATCATTGCTATTCGAAATTACTTCATCAGGTGTTAATGCCATTGTATTATATATATATATATATTAATAACTGAAAAAATAATAAATTAAAAACTAAAATAGCTTAACAAATTATTTACCGAAGAAAACAAATCGTTTCTATAGACACAAGCGATTTTGATGATTATTGTACCGTTATGCGACTTCAGAAATAGTATATCGTATCGAGCCTATGCCTTTTTTTTCTCTTTTACTCTCTGATATACTCGTCTGTGAATCGTACAAAAAAAAACAAAAGCTAGTCTTATTTGTAATTATTTTGAGACATTTTTCTTTGCGTCGGGTCGCCTACAATCGATACATAAGCGAATTAATATATGGCACGTAAAGAAAGACGAAGAAGAAAAAGAAGGGATAATACAGAACCAGGATTAAGCAATATTGCTCTCTTTTTTTCCCCACTGTTGTCGTTGTTGTTGTTTTACTATTGATAATAATCACGACGACTGCCAGATATCAGAAGAAGAAAAAAAATCGATGTTGTTGTCTCACACAAGTATTGGTTAAAAGGACAACAAAACACAATACATAGGAAAACCTTTCGTTCGACAACCATAACAAAAAACGCCAATCTACTTAGTCAATGGATAAACGCCCTTGTTAGTAGAACGACTACTATGTTTTATGCTGCAAGCATAGATAAGAAACTAGCATTAGTTTTTTTTTTCTCGATGGGGAAAAAACAAATAGATTGACGTCACACAACTAAGTAAACATTGATGTCTAAATCAGTCGATACAGGTCAGATAAATAGATATGGATAAAATTATCTATTAATTGAAAGATAACTTCTCAAAACAATGAATAAATATAAGTTTACATATATATGTAATATTAAATGATTGATATCAAATATAAAAAGAAAGACATTCGATAGCAAGCGCCAATCATTTTCTTCTTCTTTTCTGTATAGTTTTTTTATATGGCAAAAAGTTATAAACAATCTTCATCATTATTAACCAGATGCCTTCGTTCTAATAAAACAATTTCAACATCTATACCGATTAGTAATAGTCATATAAAAATGAGTACACATATGTCAAATACTTGTCTATTATCCTCAGTTGTAGAAGCTATTCAAACTATTGATCAAATGGTTCAATCAGTAGAAAATTCTAATCATAAACAACAAGGTGATTCGAGTTGTTCAGAAAAAATAATGAATATTGAACAAATCGAAGAAATGCTTGTTAAATGGACTCATATAGCTCATTTTCTTATGGATACATATCAACAAATGCAAAATTTCAATGAACATTCACAGAAAAATGATAAAATTCAAAAAAATTGAACTAATTATACAATTATTTACGGTCGAATTTTAGAAAAAGACACTGAATAATACATATTTCAAAAAATTCTATCGAGCTAAGAGTCATATCTTTATTAAATCTAGAAGATCTTTTTTGCTTTATTTGCTAACTTATTTTTAGAACAAACAAAAAAAATCTATTGTTAATATGGTATACTTCAAAAATTATGAATAATGATAATTCCTGCACTCGAATTTGATTTAAAGATGTAGTATTGTTGCCAGTTGCATCTATGTCAGGCCACAACAAATATTGAAATTCCTGTTTTAATATATTTCGACTTCGCCACTAAAGGCTTTGCAAAATTAATTCAGCATTACAGTTATTTTTTTTTATTAACCAGGCGATCTCTGTCTGAAATCTGTTCACGAAAGAAGTACTTCACTTCTAGTTAATTTGAATAATGAGAAAAAAAAACGACTTCTGATTTGTACTGATAGAGACTTATTAATAAATTTATGTTTAGCCTGGTCTTGATTTTTTTTCTATCAAAAATTGATTCTTCAATTATTTTATTGTTTTTGATTCAAAATGATTACATAAAAACTTTATAAGAATTATTGCGACGATGCAAGTCTAAGAGAGTAGAGGTATAAGTCCATCGACTAAGTCGTTGTTGCTATGACATGAAAATAAAGTAATTTGGTTTTTGAAGATTTCTCACACAGAGAATGAATAACCAGATATTTTCCTGTCTAGTTTCTTTTCTGTACATTCTCTAACATTGTTGTCTTCTTTTTCTCATGTCAAAATTTCTAGAAACTAAGAAAAATTTTTCGAAAACAAAGCCATTGGAAGATGTCTATCATCTATCAATGCATTGCCTTAAGTATCTAACCTTAAGATAATTGAAGAATTTTTCAAATACTTTCGAAAGATAACATACTCAAAGAAGAGAGAGAGATAATCATGATGTTTTT